AATTTCTCTTGTCGCGGTCGATGAGACGGTTTCTCGTCGTGGAAAGTCCAAAAACTTTGCCTCGAGTCTCGATCGCGAACCGAAATCACGGAAACGCTATCGACTTTGCAAAGTAACTTTTTTCTCGAGTTTTAATTGCCTAGAATCGGATATGATGGAAATAGTAGAAAGTCCGATAATGTCGTCGAGGTTTCTGCTGCTCGATCGAAAGATATTGCGTTTGGGTGGAAATTGGCTTTCGCCCGAAACGTTAGCAGGAAACGAATAAAGGCGAAAACGGTGACAATGGATCCGATGGCTGGTTCCTCGTCGGAGAGCACGAACGAACGGATGACGGATAGATATCGAACAAAAGACTCGACGTCGGTGCTCTCGTAATCCCCGAGCACTCGCGTCAGGGTCGTTTTTCCTCGAAGAGTAAAGAGGAAAATCCAAGAAAACAGAGACTCTGTCTCTGCCTCCGGTTACAGATTCCGTGTTTCATGGCGGTCGCGCACGTGCTTGTAGTACGAAAATAAAAATAATAAAACAGAAGTCCTGATGAAGAAAATTGAAACAAAGGATTTTTGTCTGCTCGTCGAGCACTTATTAAGACTTTGCTAGCGGGAGGGTTTTTACGTTTGCAAGTATACAAATTCAGATGTTCTGAAAATATTCAGAAACAACTACGTAACTTTTGTTTGTCAAACTTTACATATAGGAATAGCGATTTTTCCCTATTTCTAACCATTCTAGTTTGATTTATATAAAAATAAAACCTTTTTCTTTCCCTGTATCTATTATACGAGAATTCCCCTTTGAAGGTGGACCGGGAAGAAAAGCTAGAAATGTTCGAATGGTCCACGGATGGTAGATAACACATCCTGTGTGCACCGCACTCGTGAACGCCACGGGCTTGCGAAGCTCGCAAGGAAGATTTATGGTAGCGCGTGCGCGCGGCTGCGATCCGCATACGGACCACGAACAGAACCATCCTCGTGTTTCGCGGTGTACCATCTCGCCAAGCGTTTCCCGTGTTCCCTAGCGTTCCGTGGTGTCGCGTGGAACCAGACTGTGGACACGTCCCCGAGAAGCAAGACGGAAGAAAAGGGGTGAAAACGAGCGGAGAAAAAAATGTGTGGCTGTAAGGAAAAACTAAGGGAACTCGAGCGGCCAGCGTTAATTCAGGAGGTTCTCCTGAACGAAACGGAGCGAAGTGATCGAGCGGGAACGCGAAGGACCGTCGCAATGACAGAGTGGCGGAACGGAAGGAAGGAAGGCAGGCAGGCGCGCGTGGTAGGTATATGTATAGTAGTTGGGGGTGAACGGAAAGGGTGGGTACGAACGGGACGGGTCGGGACGGATAGGAGGCGGTGAGGCTCGGTGCTCGGGTCTTCTGGATCGGGGGTCGGGGGCACTAGGTTCGCCGAACGGCGGGTCGGCGTCGAGTCGAGCTCTCAGTCTGTCCTGCGCCGTCGAAACGAGGGAAGCGTCGTTCGACGTCGACGCGACGTCGAGCGCGACGAGTCGACGAGCCGCGACGAGCCCGTGCCCCTCAGTCCGCGTTCGCTCGCCGTCTCGAGCGCGACAGTTTTTTCGCTTTCGATCGCGCGACCGCGCGCGCCTTGCCTTTCTTACTTCTTTGTTCCCTCTCTCTGCTCCCTTCCTCCTCTATTTTCTGCTTTTTCCCGTCTGTCCAATAACCCGCCCCCCCCCCCGTTGTGTCGCACCGTGCAAATTCGATTCTCGAATTTACGTGTTTACCGTTGTTCTCCGAACAGCGTTTCCACCGTTCAACCGATTGCACTTAAAATACGCTTCTACGTTCCTGGTTTACCCTGCTTACACTCTGGTTCCGTTAGTTCCTTCGACTTTCTGGTTATCCTGGTTTTCTCTTGCTTCTCACGACCGTCCGTTTTGACCGAGAATTTCGTCGTCAAAGAAACGTGTGTATACGTATATACACCCGAGGCAGGATTCTCGAAAGGCAAGGAACGAGCTAACCACGAAGTCGACAGTTTCTCTCCTCCAGACGGATTTATTTGAAAGCTGCGCGCCCTTTGGATGTCGATCGAGGTACGTTTCTACGATTCTTTCTTCCGTGGTTTTTTGCGTGGTCCTCGAAGAGAAGGATACAGAGAATTGTCTTTAGCTGTTTCGTCGCTTCGGCACCCTCGACTAGCCGCCAGCTCATCGCCGATCATCGCGCCAGATGTTGTAATCGGTTTAATTAACCGCGACGTTGCTCTCGGTGCGCGAACAGTCTCGTCTGTAGGTGGTGTGCATAATGATCGTGCTTTTCACGTTTCCCGATTACATCGTATTCGTTCACGTTCGATGCTTAACTCGATAAAAAAATGTTCGTGTCATCCCATACGCGACAGAATCTTGTTCGCCAAGTTAATTTCGTCGCGAGCGAGACGCGTTTCCCTCGATTAATCGTTTTCGCGCCTCCGATATCGACAGAAGAAGTCAACGGCAGACTTGTCGATCAAATTAGACGCCTGAAAGACCGTTCCTTTGATCTCTTTGTGGTAATTGAAAGAATCGATCAAGTCTTCTGGAGCTTAATTGGTTACGATACTCCGTTCTTTGCTCGATCCCTTAGGCGCGTCTAACGTTCAATCGTTTTACAAGTTTGCATCGTATAGTTCTTGGAGTTACGAACATTCTCGAAAGAGATCACTCGACTCGACGATGACAGTCGAGTTATCGAGTTTGAAAACGAGTTTACCCGTTCGACGTCTCGTAACTTGGCCGCTAGATACTAGACCATCTCAAAAGTGCCAAGAAATTTTCGGGAATAACGTTGCGTTCCATGCAACCGTCTTTTCTCCTCCTCTTTCTTTCTCACACGCGTGCATAGACGCAGAGAAAAAAAAACAGGCATCGGTTGATGATTGGCGAAGCATGGTTGGTGACAACAAGTTGCAAGAAATAGCATTGAACGATTAAAAAAAGGATACACGCGCAAGTTTATTTTTAAGATGATCGCTGACGGTATGGGAAAAATTGTCTTGATGTTGGAGAACGGAAAAAGAAGTATCGATCGAAGAGTATAACGCGAAACACGACTGGAGTAGGAACGGGTAAACTATCATGAAACATCTCGTTTCGAGGATCGTTTAGCGATCGTGAGAACTTGAACTGGTCCAGGTGATGAGAAAATGGAAAATCAGGGCATCGATTCAATGGGTATCGTGAAACCGTCCTTTGCAGAGTTACCAGACACCAACGATTTTCACGATGCCCCCGATCTTGGTCAGAGTTTTCGTTCGTACGATCGAATAGGGAATCGTGGGGGGAATTCTAGAGGCGCGTGAATCGCGAACAATGGAGAATTTTTCGCGGTTCGCGCGCGTTTACGTCGGTCGACCGAACCACGCCGCTGGGAGAATTTAAAGGGATAGACCCGAGCCGGCCTCATCTATCGAAGACTCGAATTCGGTGTTACGGTTCGGTCTACCGGCGAATAAAACCGCACATCGTCCGATATATACCGGTTTACCGTTTCTTGTAGTTCTCCCCTGGATGCATACAGGGAATACAGGTCGGCCAGAGCGTGGGCTTCCGTCCGATTTTCCGAGAGTTCGTCGAACCTGCGGTTTCCATTAGCCGCATTCATCCCCCCTTTGTCCCTTCGACGCACCGTCGAACGAACGATCGGTCACTCCCCGTCGACGAGAGCCGGCTGTAAAACGCTTCGATAGTTTTTTCATGGCCGGTGACTGTAGTGTTAAAAGTTTTCTCGGAAATTCCCGTTTGTCCCGCGGATCTCTGATCGACTAACGGGGAGACTCTTTCGATTTCGTGGTACCCCGGGTGGAAGTAATGCATTAAAAAAAATATATGATTCCATTTAAAAAATCAAAGTCGACCTTAAAAAATTACATCGGAAAGTTTGTGCCCCCTGATACCATTTAGAGTTTGTCTGAAATATTAAAATTTTTAGATTTAAACAGACACCCTGTATATTTTTTTTCTTTTGAAGTGAAAATATTGATATTAAACACACCTGCTTTTTTCCATTTTTTTTTTTTATTTTTTTACCTCTGGAGGGAAGACCTGATTTTCTCAACTACAAACGCAGAGTCTACTTGACATCAGTGAAACTACGGATCCTTGTCGACAAAATTTAGAAATTAATCGGTGACAGAATTTGACACACTTGAAAATTCCACCGGTGCAATACTGGGCGTTAAAGGGTTAAACGGGCCACACGATATCGCCCGTTCGGCTCGTAAATCGGAGTCGTTTCGTTGTTAAGCTCGTTAGGTTCGTGAACTAAACGGTCCTACGACACGTTCATTCTCGGCTTTTTCTCGTATCGTTGAATTTAATTGTCCCCGCGATCGCGAGAACGGCCGAAGTCGCTATCGCCGGGAAATACAGAAAGAAAATAAAAAGACGCGCGATATCATAGCCGAAGTAGGTCGCGTACCGTCTGCGTCGACGGCAAATATATCGTCAACCTCTCTCATGAATTGCAAATTCCGGTGTTTTCTTTTTTTTACCGAGTTGGCTCATAGTTTGGCTTCCTTTGGAGAAATTATGCAAGAACGCGAAACGACGAAATTCACAGTTACAGTGCAACACGAATTCGTTCTCGATAATTAGTTCGAGTTTATACCAGGTATCTTCGTAAATTTGGGTACTCAATGTTTTTTCAGATCGTGCTTGGTCATCGCGACGACGAAACGATTTGGGTTCGATAATTCCGTTAGAAAGCTCGCGGCGACGAAAACGAGGACTGACCCTAGGCGAAGGAGACATCGTGCGAGTGTCAACGAAATTTGTGCCAAAGTATTTATCGAGGAAAACGAGAGTGCCAAGGGATCGGTGGCCGGGTAGGATCGGCTGGTGCGTGGAAAGTATCCGTAGAAGTGGAAAAAGGGTAGAGCGGCCGAACGTGGGCGGGAAGAGCGAAGAATGAAAGCAACCGTCCCGCCGAGGAGGAAGCGATCGTGGTAGGCGGGTGAGAATAGGACGTGGATCGAGGTGGATCCGTGTCGAACGGTGTGATGGTCTCGGGGTGGTGTCCGTGCGTGCCTCTAGGCCGCCGGGAATCTCCTGTCCAGCAGCAGTCGGCCTCCTCGTCGAGGTGTTTCGGAAACGACGGTGCACCGTTCACCGTCAGCGCCGCGACGGATCACGCAGAGATGGTCCAGATGTTCTACTACGAGAATCGCGGGAAATGCTGCAAGAAGCTTCTCCGATACAACGGCTATCCGAACAAGGTAATAATAATATATAAACATCTAACGTGGTTGCGACAAACATTTTCAATAGAACGGGACGAACGCATGAATGAAATGATGAACTTCGTTCGAAATGTTCCCGACATCTTCTCGGTATAACGTTGTTTTCTGTTCGATAACTCGATAAAATTTCATACGGCGATGAACGCGTGTGAAAACGAGTGGATCGCGGCTCGCGGACCCCGAGTACGGTCCTCCAGAGTCCGGCCATTGAAGGATCTTCGAGGTCCTTGGCGAGCTGTCAACGACAAGCTATATCGTCGAAACGCGTGGACTAGTACTTATTGTATGGATTTTTTTTCGAAAAAGAATAGAACAAAGAACAGAAACTATAAATTCATCGCGTGTTTTGTGCTCGTCTCGATCGACCGATTTTACATGGTTTCTTTATCGTTCGGGCGTTGCGTAATCTTCGCGGAATCCCGGACAGGAAGAATGCGAGAAAAGGGGGAGAACCGTTCCTCCGAGTTCACGGCTCGAGAGGTTCCAAGTTTCCGAAAGCCCCCGGGGAAATAAATCGATTCGCTATCCGAATAGCCATTATGCGGACGTGGCTCGGAGGCGAGCACGGCAACGGAGGACGAGAAGCCAAACCGGGTTGGGTTCGGAACGTTGGCTCGTCGGCAATACCGGTCGAGGAGCGCGGGACGGAGTATTCGGAAGACGAAAATCGAGGGAAAGACAAGGAGAAGAGGGTGAGAGTGGGAGAAAGATAGGTAGATAGAGATAAAGAGGGAGAAACTAACGAAGTCAATGGTGGCCTTATTCGCGCCACTTGTACCACCGACCAAACGCTTCCGGAGTTTCGAAACTCGGATCGGCCGAAATTTTCTTTCAATAACCGAGTTATTATTCATCCTGGCCATTTAATACCCTCCTTCGTTCTCCGCCTCGGGTTTCCTTCGCCCTCCGCTACGACCTCGGCATCGTGGATTCACTGTTCCCCGCGAATCAAACTTCTCCTTCGCAGGGGAAACGGATAGACCGTGGTCCGCCTCTCGTCTGCCTCTTGTGCCCTCGAGGAAAGTGTATACATATACCTATACGTCAACTTTTTACGAGGGTAGTACCGGGATTCTCGATCGACCGTAAAATATTGCGCGGAATCTCGTAAAAATACGCTTGCGTTTTCGATTTTCTCGCATTACTTCCAGCGTTTTTTTTTTTCCTTTCGTTCGACAAATCGTTTTTCTTACGGTCCTTTCGGTGTGAGTCATTACCGGTTTTTCTCCATAAACGTCGGACGTGGAGATGCTCTTGCGATGCACGTTGCGTCGAGAGAATTTCTTAATCGGTCTTTCCTCCGAGTCTGCTCGACTTTGTTAGACGTTGCATCAGACGTGGAAAAGTTCGCGGTCTCGTCGCCCGATCGCTTTCCCGCTCATTGTAGTCGCTCGGGACGCCTCATCGTTCGAGGAAGAGCGAAGATGAAAGAATCTAGAGAACGGCAAAGATAAACGTACGCGGCTGCCGTGTTCCTCGGGGCGTCGCGTCGGTAGTTTCGATAAAAAGGGAGTATTGTTTATGATATCTCGTCTGAAAAGGCTGCCCGGTTTCTTTCGCGGGCTGGCTGTCTCTTTCTTCGCAGAAATCGTGCTCGACTACCGAAAGGAAACCGTCTCCAATGGGATTCGAAAAAAGAAAGGAAAAGACCCCGAGGGGAATAATCCGGTCACCGCTGCGACGCGTCGGAAAAGTTTAAGAGGCGCAACGATTCTCCCACGATTCTTCGCGATTCTTCGCGCACCCTTCGCGGCGGAATCTTCAAATTGCTCGCTCGGAGAAACATTCTTCTATAACCGAGCAAAATATTCGCCGCTTTTGTTTCACCGCGGGGTCAGAGCGATCGATCTCGCGGACGGATAAACGAGCATCGAGGGTCCGGGATCCGTTTCTTTCCACGACGCGAAGGAGACTCGGCGAACCCTCCGTCGACGAGCACCCTATTTGACTCAAATCCTCGCGCGTTGTCGTTCCAGTTCCCCGAATCGATTAATTTTCCGTTCCCTCGTCGCGTCGAAACGATTGTATTTCGTCTATATTCGGCTGAGTTAAGTGTTTCAGCTACACGACTATTCTAATACATACACTGCCGTTTTGGTCATCGTGTTGAACGATATGTAACACGAATTTAAATGTGATGTATATGATACTGTTGGCGTGTACAGAAAGTGAGTGGAAATAGGCATTGAGGTGAACGTACGTTAATAGACAGTCTAATTTAGTCCCGAAATCGGTGCATCTAAAGAATCCGTCGAGAACTTGGCTTACATTCCAGCCAAGAGTCGTTAAAAAGGTCCGATAAACGGTGAGAATGTCGGGGGGTGGGTTCTTCCGATACTACAGAAAAGCAATCGTGGCACTGCTAAGCGGGCCAGTTTCAGACACGATGGCAATCCCAGTTGTATCCTCGTAGATTCGAACTGTCGTCTGGTTCGGCTTTTGCTCCCTCTCGTTCTCTCGGGTTCCATTCGCGCATCCGTAGCTCCCCCGGGACGACAATGCTCCCGTAACTTCGCGACCGAATCCGTGAATTTTTGCTCGTTCGTAATGCATAAGTAGATACCGCTGTTCCGTGTCCTCATCGATCGTTACGGCCCGGGAACGCGACAAAACGCGCGCGAACGAAATACGTCGTGACGAATAAATAAAACGCGAGCGAATAGTACGATTAGACGGAGTAACGGCGGTGGCACGACGGGGGCGGGTGGAGGGGAAGTTTCCGGCGGAAAGCGAAACGAAGAGAATGGAGTCGGTTCGCGAGCGAACGGGGCCGACAGAGACGCGTTATGGATGGTACAGGAAGAGGATAGGATTCGGAGGAGAGACAGGAGGCCAGGAGCAGGAACGGCAATTAGAGAGAGAGAGAGAGAGAGAGAGAGAGAGAGAGAGAGAGAGAGAGAGAGAGAGAGAGATGGAGGGTGTTTAGGGAGGAGAGAATGGTGGTGTAGGAGGAGGAGCGAAGGGGATGAAGAAGCAGGCAAAGAGGGGGAACGTTGAAGGGAGGGAGTGGGTGTTGGACAGACAGAGAGAATGAGAGAGAGGTGTTGGGTGGGGGGTCGTAGGGGTAGCAGGGAGAATCGCGGAAAAGAGGCAAGAGGGTGGATATTCCAGGCTGCACCCCGTGGCTGTCCCAGCGCATTGCCATGGCAACCGACCCTGAAACACCCTGCGGCCGTCGCACCATCGGAGGCTTTGCTTTCCGATGATAGTAATAATGTATCCTCGCGTTCCCCGTTGATGTAGGTCGCAGGACGTTACCGTGGTAGCGAGCGGAAGGACTAATTTTTCGAGGAATTCCCGTCGAGTGGTCGGAAGAAGCCGTAACTACGCCCCCCTCCCCTTAGCCCTGCGCCGTGGGTTCTTCTCCTTTGTATTCCCCGTGACGGAGTTTAACGGTGTGCCTGCCTGCGCTGTTACACCTATACATACCACCGAGTGGTCCTTCGATATTCTTTTTACTACGTCCGATTGGGAAATTGCGCAAGATCGTTGGTTCAAGGAGGGAAGAATCGCGTTAACCGAGAAGGGAAGCTCGTGGGCGGCGTGGACCGATACGATCCCGTTCGACGAAGACGTGGTTAGGGGGAAACGCGCGAACCAGGAGAAACGGGAAAGAAGAAAGGTGAAAGGAAAACGGAGCTCGAGGAAAACACGCTGTCGCGTGTTTGTCGATGCATATCGGGCGAGTGGCGTCGGCGTTTTTAATCGGCGCCACTTGTTTCTAACGACCCTCCTTTGTTTAAGCCTCTACACCACGCTTCAACCCCACGCCACGGTATTCCCATTCTCCGCATCAGTTTCCCGCCGTTTCCCCTCGAGTTACCCGACCCACGCCATCCACCGCCGCCGACCCGCCTCTCGTTTCCTGTCAACCGTCAACCGTTATCCGCTACCGTTTATCCACTACCACCGCGGGCGTTCCTTGAGTTCGAGCCACAGTCATCGATTCCAAGACCACGCGATCGTATCGCATAGCAGAGACGAACCAAGACACTGTACTATTTTCTTCTCCTATTTCCTTCACCTTCATCCATGGTTCTTTCCTTTTTGCCGACACAAAGGATAGAATATATTTAGGTACATTTAGGCGACGGTCAGTCGACGAAACGGATCGAGACGAAGCTGTTATCAAACTCGACAAGAACGACTCTCGTTCAACGGTGACGCGACGGCTCGAAATCGAATCATTAAACTCGGCCGAGTGGACTCGACGAAAGCGTAATTTCCACCACGGTTACCGGATCGTCGATGCGACGCTTAATTGCATCCCGTTACGTGCTCTTTCACCCATCCGCAAAGGTGTCCGTGATAAACTGGACAAAAAAAGCTTGGCGTGTAGGACTCGTGCGAATCTTGGAGCTCGACAGAAATTCGCGGGAAAGAAGGCATCGGGAGGGGTGAAGGGAGTATGCCGAGAGAAGATTGGTTGAAAATCCGCTGAACGTCAAAGAGTCGTTCCAAAGACCTGGCTTTTGCGAGACAGGATTCGTTCGGAGTCTGAGTAGTCGGTAAAAGTGTATGTTACCGAGTTTATTAAATCGAAGAGGGCAGAGAAGTAAAGCGACCGACTCTCTCCACGAGCTTCTCGATCAAAATCGACTTTGAAAAATCTGGTGCGCGACCGACTCGGAAACGACGGACGCGCGAACGAATCACGACGGATCTTCTCGATAAACCGAATGCTCGTTCGAAATTCTGGTTCCAACTAATACGATGAATCTCGTTGATTCGTTTGTTTATTTATTTAATGTAAATAAACGGGCATAACTTTTTCGTACAAAAAAGTTATTACTGTTATTCATTAACGAAATTATTCATTGTATTGAGCCTGAATACTTGTGACGTGATAAGGTTTCCATAATACGCTATTATATACATTATTGAATTAATTGAAATAGTTTACATTTAAACGATGGTATACGACCTGAACAAAAATCTAAGTCTGAGCGTTAAAGGGTTAAAAAGTCAGCGTTACACCTGGTGAACTCTCGTCGTCAGTAGAGCCTACCACCATTTATCGAGGATTTACTGTATATACATAAAAATTCGCCTATACTCGTTCCCTTAGCTTACGTTGAAATTGCATTATCGTAGAGCCAGAAGAAGCAGAGCCCTCTCCTCGAGAAGACACTCGTATCGATCGAATTTTCATTTCGCGTAACGTCCCGGCGAAGAGATCGGCTACCCCCGTATTCGTTCGACGATCCCATTACGCGCGCAAGATTAAGCCCGTCGTATCTAATTAGGTCCGTAGCGTGGCAGGTGTAAAGTATTGCTGACCGTGGGGCTCGGCTCGGCGTGGCGTTTGCACGGATCGGTGGGCACCACGATTTCTGGGATTTCGTAGAAAGCCGGATTTAATCCAGGTATACTGTAGTGTACGCGTTCGTATACGTTCGTATCGGTGTATATAATTTCGGTATATAATGTCTATGTACACGTACATATTTATCGTCCGGAACGGCATCGCGTTACCCGGGCGGGACCGTTTTCTCGAGCGACTAACCCAGAAAATACCCCCGGGTACTTTGTCTACGGGAAACCCGACTGCTCGGGCTTCCGTGGTTCGAGCGAACGGAAACCACGGGTGGGACTTCGGTTAACGAAAAAATTCCTCCGTGTACAATTTTCTCCGTTCCGGAATAAAATTCCACGTAACATCGTGTGCTCGTCGATTCGGCCGACCACCGTGCAACTGTGATATTCGATTCGTCGGTGAAGATCGAGTCTTCGGTGATCCAGGGTCTTCTTCCCTGTCGCCGTTGAGAATTGGCTAACCTCCGTTTCCGTCGTCGCAATATCTCGATATTCGTCGCGTGACATCGACTTCCCCGATATCCGACGCGAACTTCGCCGCTTCCTTCTCCCGTTCCCCGCATCCTTCGTCACGGAATCCCGTGAACCAGAAACCGGGTCGAGCGAAAGTTTCTCGGGAGCGCGCGGGCGATAACCGAGCGCCACTAATCGCCTCGATCGCGGAGGAATCGAGCACCTTCTCCCAGGCTTTACAAACTTTTAGTTCGTCGATTATGCGTCGAATAACGTTGCGAAAGTAATTCGTAGTTCGAACGAGACCTGAAAAAAATTGGAAACGTTCGAAACCGGATCGTACGGTACGTGGGGTAGCAGCGGGGCTGGAGAACTTTTTGATTGCACGGTAAGCGACGTACTTACCTATACAATTCATGGACTATGTATATGTATATATATATAAGCGACTAAATCCGACACGGCTTTCGATAAAAATTTACGGTGTCGTATTACGATCCCCCTTGAAGAAAGGATAGAAATAGTTCCGAACGGAATGGGTAGCCTAGCCTAACTTCTCGATATCGGGAGGCGTTTCAAGATTTTCGAGTTTCTCGTTTTGGCTGGCACACGGAATAACCGGGTCGGTGGATAGAAATGGCGATATGGAGAAACGGGGGCCGCGCATGCTCGCGGAAAATTCGTAGGAAACTCAATTTGAAGGTACATACAACGCGATCGGGGCTCGCTTTACGACTCTATTCTCGCTATTTTCACGGGTTCGGTTGCATTCGCCGTGGAGCCGAGTCGATACTGCTCCGAACTCGGGGCACCGTTCTCGTCCGCTGGGTTTCCACGTTCGGAGAGGATTTCCGGAGTCTCGCTGCTTCGAAGAATATTTCGTTCATTGGATCGTCGAATCGAATACCTGGCTAAACCGGCAGTTACCGAGACTCAACGCAAACATACGATCCTCTCCGGGGATAACCGCGATTCGTGCTTAATCCTGAACGTCCTTTGCGAATACCCATCTCCTGGAAACTAGTGGCTCGTTTCCTATCGAGGATTGGACAATTCGTGGCCTCGCGTTCGATCGCTATATACGATCGCGTGTTTCCTTCCGTTGCTTTGATGGAAAAACGGCACACGATTGGCATTCTCGTTTTTCTCTCTTTTCCGAAAGTTTTGCTGCCCAATGGAAAACTAGTTCGAAGTTACCTACTGCATATAGCGGATACCGACTGAACAGCGACGAGTACGTATTCGAAAAAGAACGCGTAAACGCCCAGAGATATATGGGGTGTCTCAGGTCGGATATGATAACCAGGCAGTGGGTGATTTGATAAGGAAAAATAAGTTGAAAAAACAAAAACAAAATGTTGTCGAGTGATGCTTCGGTTTGTAGAAAATCAAAGTTGAAAATTTATTGGATTCACGGGGTCAGTAGAATAGGACTTGGCTGACGCGTCTGTCCATTGCAGGCCGTTTCTACTTATTGCCAGCACGAGTACATGCGTTCTCGATGAATGTTCAAATCCAATTTTCTCGAAAATGAAACGTCAAATAAAAGAAATTTACTTTCTTCTTTCGACTTACTTTTTCTTATAGATTCACCTCCTACCTAACGTTCCTTAAAGTACTCGACATTTTCTTACGAGTCGCGTCGCATCAGTGGGATCGAAGAACGATCTCTAACGGTATTTATTATTTATTAAATAAAGAGGATAAATCCCATTAGTGTGCATTAATATATACTCACACATCACATACACAAGTAACAAAGTAAATAAAGGGAAAAAACTGATAAGAACGCGTATATGAAAGACTTATAATGAAGATGTATACAAGAGCAGACGTGTGACAAAGATTAATCGAGCTCAATGGGTGATAGTTGCGTCATCGATGTTAGATATGTACCAGTAATTTCGATCCGATCATTTTTCTCAATGTCGCGATGTCTGCGAAGTACATTCGTTCTCGATGAAATTAACTATTTGCGATCAAGCTTTCTCAAGAATCGCATCTGAAGTTTACAAGGGTATCAATGTTATCACCAGCTTAGTTTTTAATCGATAAACGGGTATGATAAAAGTTCCAAGAAGAGACGGGAACCGCGTCGAAAAAATGCCACGAATGAGAATAAACATTCGACGACAATGGTAATGTTATGTCTGTGAGAGGATTGTCACATCGAAGAAACGCGTAACCTTCCCCCAAGCGAACATACACGATGCGTATGGTACAGACGGAAATGGTGATAATGCGAGGAGGATCGGTTACTCGATCGACGGTAATCGACGCAACGTGGAACGTCGGCGCAAGATCCATACGTCGGTCGTCGCGTGCGTTATCGAGCGCGGATACGACGTTCCACGATGGATAGTTACTCCTCGTTAACACCCTCTCTCGGTTCGTATCGCTTGGCGACACACGCGCCTGGGATTCCGTCTGTTCCGCGAAAGATTAATTATCGTAACGCTTTCGTGACGCGCGTCCTTTTTGCTGTCCGAAAAACAGTTCCACGACACGAAATACGGTTTTAAGATAGAAGCAGGAAAGACTGGACGAACAAAAGCTCGGTTTCGGCAGTGGCTCGGAAACGTCGAAAGCTTTCCTTGCCGAGACAACCAGCTCGTTCCAATCGTATCTTGGTCTTCCTGTTATATCGCACTTTTTCCCGCGTTGTGATGAGGTTTTATCATTTCTTTTGTATCCTCCTTGTTTTTCATCGTAGTCCATTTCAATGTAGAAACCCATTTCAATCATATTGATTTTATTTTTTTTTTTTCATATATCTTGAACATACGTAATTAAGGTATAAACATAAATCATACCGTAGGACTATCCAAGTTAGCGGACCAATATAAACTAGTAAAATCATTTAAAAACCAGTTAGGACAAATAAATTACGCTGTTTCTAGAGCCCTGAATATCACACAGGGCATTCTAGCTTTAACTAAAAAGTGAAACGCACGCGGGGCTCCAAATATTTCGAAAAATCTTGAAAAACTATAATTTCTTAGATAGGACACTTTAACTAACGACGACAGTGTAGGTATTCCTTATCAGGCGTAACGATCAATCGCTTTGAATATCGGTTGCTGTTTGTTGCAGGTCCTTCTATTTCCGGACGAAGGCTGGGCGAGAAGCGCGAGTAGTTCCTACTGGACTTTGACGCCTTTCTGGTGGAGTCGAAGTCGATGCAAGGTCGTCGAAGTCGCTGGGACCAGGAGGTAAGTGGTAAGTCGGTGTCGAGGGTCCGCTCGGTTACCACGCGAACGCGATAACAGGGTCAGTCGTGGAGAATGAGGTCGTCCCGACATTTTCCCGGTAACCGTATTCCTAGCGCGAACGGAAATTCGAGCTTTTAGGTTACGTGGTCGGAATGTTTATAACCGCCACTCGACACGCTGACGCCGCTGGTCGAGAATTACAGGGGGCGACGAATCCAAAACTTTGGTATCCTCTTGTTTCCGTTCAAGTATACACGGTGGCATGCGCGACACAAAACTCTAGGGACAGTACAGTAAATCCTCGATGCGTGTTCGAAAAGTCCTCGGCACTGAACATTAAATATTTCATGAACTAATGACCATGTACGTTCGAAACAAATATCATTGGCTTTAATATTCCAAGATCTATCGCTGTGCTAAACCTCGTTAAAAACTCATCGTTACACTTGGAGACCCCTCCTTATTAGTGTGCCCAGAAGCCTTCGAGCATTCATCCAGGCTTCACTGTATAAGATTTCGCAGAATTTTACGAAACACGAAACGAACAAACGTTTCGTCGATCTGAAGTCTTTTTATCCGTTTTCTGTTTTCGGCGAGCTTGCGAAACGAGATCGATCGTTCGTCTGGTATTTGGTGGCGAACGATTCCATGATCCGTCGCGGAGAATACGGTGGGAGCTGAACGATGCTCGTAAGCGCGCGGCGAACGGGCAGGGTCGAGCATCGAGAGGATGCTCCGGTTGGCAGTTTCCTTTGTGAAGCGAATCGAGGACCGGAGGAAAAGTCAAAGCACCAGCCATAGTAGATTTTAAACCGAGTGTTGGATCCGCCGCACTTCAATGGAGGGCGTTTAAACTTTTAATGATCGTCGCCGGTTGAACCGCTGCGCCGGAATAAGCCCCTCGAGCCACCAGGGAAACACCGCGCCCGCGCCATCCCTCTTCTCCTGCTCGTTCGCCTTCATGACCCTCGGCTCATCTCATCCTTTACCCTTTCGCTTCCGAAAACGGTCGAACTACGTTATTTCGTCGTTTTTTTTTTTTTTCCTTTTCGAGCTTCCTCCTTCCGTTCAGATCTTTCTTCCTCTATCTCGTCGTTTGTTCATCGATTATTCTTGGCTGGTTTTTCGCACGATTATTTTATCGAATGCGAACGGTTCCTCGATGAACGTGTAAATCGTAACAACGGGACTGTAAATATATCGACGGGGAATAATAGAAGAGAAATAAATAAGACGTGAGGGTGTAACGGTAATCGCATTTACCGATACTTACGAGACGATAAAACCCTTACGGAAGTCGCCCGATCGAACGTTGTTCCACGAGCGAGATCTGTCGGCTGCTCGACGACAGCTGAACAAATTTTCGCACATGAAAAACAACTGATATCGCTGTGTTCCAGGTACAGCACTCAGGCGAAAATGGTGGACACAGGAACCGGCACGCTTTACATTATCGGTTCGTTTAAGAGAATGACAACCGATCCCGATTTCAAGGTACAGTTATCGTTGTTCATCATTTTCAAATTTCTTTCGTTTCGCGAGTCACGGTTCTACCAAGTTCGAGCGATTACATAATTCCAAGTGCGTGCAAGGACGCAAGAGTACATATAGCGATCCCTCTATAAAGTTTGACTATATCATTCGAGGAGAAGACTCCCGCGTATATGTGTAAGAAAAGAATTTCGCGTCAAAGCGCGGTGAGGCGAGGAGAGGTAAAGGAAGACGCCGAGAGCCGAGCTTTTCGGAACGACCCAAATTCTAAAGTGGCTTCTATTGTGCCGCGTCTGCGTAACGTATAGACGACACAGAAATTTATGACGCTGAAACGCGAACGTTAGCAGCACCCGCCTAGCCGTCCCGACTCCCGCGCTGCCTAGATTAATCGCTACGCTGCCTGAAGAAACACACGTCTACGTATAGAGGGTATCCGCCCTAACCGTGTACAGTCCATTATTTCCTAAATTATTCGAAACACTAGAATACTCTTTACACAAAATTGAATGTATCGAAACTTTGGCGAAACGTTGTTCGGATCACGCGACAGGGCACACTTCGACGTCTGAACGAGGCGCCTATCGCTTTTCTGTCGACAGTTGTACCTGACGTCGAACGTTTCGTCGAGCGACTTCAACATGGGCTACAGTATGACTGGCACGTTGGAGCGCGGCTGTAAAAAGACCAACACCTTCCAGATGACTCACTTCGCGGTGATTCGTCGACGGGACTACGAGAAGGCCTACGAGGATCCTAACACCACCTAGTGTCCGTCCACGCCCACGTTGTCCGAGCGTGGGGATTGCGAGCACTACGCGTAAAATGGAAGGAAAGGATGCAATCCGCTTCGCGCCGTTATCGCTATCGCCGCCAACGCTGCCATTTATACTGACCGCGTTCCGAGCTTACCTACACAGCGTTCTAGTCAGCCACCTGCGGAACACGCGCGGAGGAAACGGAGGCCAGGTTGACGGGTTCCCGCGTGAAAGCGTGCGCGGGCGAACGCGCGAACAAAAGAAAGAAAAAAAAAAGGCGAAAAGCCAAACGTCCAAAGGTAGTGTTTAACTTAGGTCGAATTAAAATAGTTTGTAATTAGCGACGCGATCGATACCTAAATCGAGTATACAAAGCAACGGTGATCGAGAAAACCAAACGAGTTTCCAAAGTATTAGCACGTAAGGTCGTAAAATTTCTTCCCCAGCGACGAATACGCTGGAGCAGCGTGTCGCGTCGTCTCCTATGCGTGCCCTCCTTCCGGGACGACACTCGCAGCTTTTCGTCTACCGTTCGCGCGACACACGATACGACACAGACACACGCATTTTCGCTTCGTAAATCGGTCGGTACTGTTACGAACGGTAGCTTGTGTAGCCGGTATGCGTAGTGTTGCCACCTTTGATTTCTGAAAATCCGTAAAGAAGGGCTGAAACTTTCGTAGAATTCCGTAGACACCCCCTAAGAAGATCCGTAAATGTACGGATTTTTGTACGAGTGTAAGTCACCAGGTCGAACGCTGCTATTTCGCTTTATTTAGGATTTCTAATTCTGCTGACCGTGTAGCTACTCGTCACGCGTGTTCAGACAATTAACGATGAAACTCCGGAAAGAAAAAAATTTTGGTTTGCTCAAATCAAAGATTTGCAAACTATAACACACAAGCTTGAAATGAATATCCGAATGACATAACAGAATACAAACGCATCAGTATAAGCTACCGTTACAACAAAAAAGATCAGAGATCCATAAATTTTGGTTTGATATTTATAGATCCCCAGGCAAGATGAAAAATCCGCAGAACTACGGAAAAGTCTATAGAGGTGGCAACACTGACACATGACAGACACATCTCGAGGCTTGCCGCGCTTTCTGTTCTTCGAGCTATTCCATCGTGCCGCTCGAACGAACAAACCCTTTTACGAAATCGCTACGGTAGTCGCGAGCATGAACGTGTAAACTCCTTCCCCCTATCGTGGGATCGTCGTGAATCGGCCCATGGTCAACGCGATACTTATTTTTGTTAACGAGTAGAAACTTGGCCGCGTCACGACGCGTCCCGAGCAGAAGTATTACATTATCAATATATGTATTACTTCGATTATTTCGTCGGTCGACTCGACTCGACTCGACACGCCTTGACTCGGCCGAACGACCGATCGAAACTAGCTAGTCCCGTGGTAGGGCGACGAAGCTTTTGGTGATCGCCGTTTAGAGGATTTTTGTACTATCCGGCTTTGCTCAAAGGTCTGTGCGTAAACGCCAAAAATACAGACGGTATAGGTGTAAGATACGATCGAAGAACGCGAGTTCGATGTGTGTTCCCGACGATCGGCGGAATGCGCGACTCGCGGAATTTCGCAATCGATTCGATCGTATCCTCCCCGTGGCTGCTGCACGCATTCCGACGGTCGCTCGGGGCAACCGGTATTTGCCAGTTCGAACGAACAACGCTTTTTCTCTCTTTCTCAATCTCTCTACCTCTGTTTCCGCGATTCCGTGCTTTCTCCGTCTGGCCGTGCGTGTGTTCATCCATTCATCCATCCATCCAATCCTGCTACGTCCATTCGCTCCCTCCATATTCGTCTAGCGAAAGTCTCGCTTGTGCGTTTGGTAGCGCGATTGTCGCGATCAACGTCGTTGATGTTTCCGCGTATCGAAGCAGAAAGGAAGACGATCGAATCCTGTCGTTTAGTGTCATTTAGTCGAGCGCCATTACGTATCACAGGGTTTAACGGTTATTCGCGATTCGGTAGAGACGGGACGAGCGGTAGTGAGTGTCCGTTTAGTCTGCACCTTCGTCTTCTATCTGTCGTTGTTATTGAATTTTCATCGTTCTCCACGACGATTAAACGCGCCTCCGCTTGCCCAGAGACTAGAATTCCGAGAATAAAATATTCACGCTCGTTCCCTCGACTCGCGAATGCCGAATAGAATGTCGCTATCAAAGCAGCGTACAAAATGTATCCAGTCTAAAAGTCCGTGTCTGCAGGAAAGTTTTCGGGAAACTCGGTCGATGTCGTAGATCGTTGATTTTATCGTAGACACGCAACGCTATGTTCGGCGCCATATACTAGTCGTTAGATTTAGCACGGGTCGCCCTGTAATCAGCGACTTCGATCAGTGTAGACGCGTGTCACTCCGACGGGAATCCGCGAGAACTTCGGCGCGTCCGCCGAAAAACTATCTTGGCGAATAACGTCGTCGATCGTTTCTTTATCCCTCGAGAGCGTGAAAGTCGTTCCGAGTCGCTTAATCCACGAACTCTCTCGACGATCCGACGCGATAAAGCCGTCGTCGTCGGGGATGCGCAAGAGTACTCGGGGGGTCTTTCGTCGGATCAAAGTTGACGCTTGGCAGCGCTCTGAGTAACGATAGATGCTCGTCCTCGCTTGTCGACACAGTTTCGGTGTGTTCGCTTCTTTTAGCCCACGGTAGAAATCGGTAGGTAGCGGTTTAAGCGAACGTACGTCCGATATCACGGTCCCTCCTAACTACTTAGCCGTAGCTTCGACCCCCGAATCAGCACGGCCTGCGCTCGCCTCTCGTGAAGGGAAGCGACAAATCTATCTTCGTCGGCCGTGTAAACGGGGTCTTCTAGTCCGTTCGAAAACCCGCTCGGCTTCCGAACTTCCGGTCCAGTGGTGTCATTCGCGAAACCACGCAGATTTCGATCAAAATCGCGATCGGAAGCGTGACAAACTATCGATGTCGGATAATCAAAATTCAATTGGTCGGAAGATGGGAAGCGGTGGAATTCTTTATCCTTCGAGTGTAGCAAGATTATAATCGTAGACGTATCGTAGTGATTGTAGAGATATAGAAAAATTAGCCTAGTAGATATTCGTGTCTTCGTTATCGTCGTCGTTATCGTCGTCGTTATCGTCGTCGTCGTCGTTTACGTTGTCAGCATTCGGGTCGCTTCCGTTTCACGACGACAATGATTTCTCGGGCAATCGCGAATTTGCTATCGCTGCGATCGATCGAACGGTAAATATTATTTTTTATAGAGGACGTGGCCCGCCGATTGTGCGAATTCGCGCGATAGCAGAGTCGCGATCGACTCGTGGTAACCAACGATTTCGTCGTCGTCGTCGTCGTCGCGACGGACCGATCTCGGATGTCTCGCTTAGGATACGTAATAATCGAGCGTAGCCAAAAGTAATCTTGTTATCTGGAGTAGACGCGTTCAACAGCATTTTAGATGAGCGAAACGAAGAGTATTTCGCCGGTTCGAGACCATGTACGAGCGTTCTTTGCCGCTTAAGATCGTTTTCGCTTCTTCACGACCAAGTACCACCGTCGACGCAAGTGAAATTTCACACGTCTCATCTGGTCTCGAATCCGTCGAAATACTTTGTCCGTAGTACAGGTAGCATAGCAAAACAGAATAATCGCTTATGAGAAGCATGCCGACTAATAATAGTATGTAGAATGCGTAGTTTGCTTTTCTCTTAGTTTTGTCTCGATCCAATGGTTCTTGTTATCTCCAGACGATACGAAATACTATTTCCCGTTCAATAATCCCGTACCCCCGTTTCATTCGTATCTCGTTGTAATCGATGTGCTAGTCACTAGAAAAACACATATAACGATATACCGGTAGAAATGTGTCTGCATCTTATCTTTACTATTCGCGCAAAACGGATAATTAACCGTAATTGTATCAGTCTTTAAAAAATACGAAAGGAACATTCGTATTCAAAGCTATGGCTGTGATCCTAATTAATCGTGGAACGGTTCGTAAGAAATATATATACATATACACTATATTATATATACATACATATATATATATATATATATATATATATATACATACAATAAATAGGTTAACGACGCCATGTAGCGACAAGCGACGCGATATTTTGCCAAATCGTTGCGTTCCGCGGACTTGAGTTTCTATTCCCCGATGGATTCGTTTGCCAGGCTAATTCTCCGCTCGAAGGAACGCGTCGCGTTTTCCTCTTCGGTGCTAAATGGTGTAAGCAGTCAGTCCTTTCAAATGAATCGCCGGATTTCGCGATTCTCCCAAAGTCTAACCGGTCGTTTCGCCGAACTTGAAATCAAAAGGCCGCGGGGCTTATATGTATACATACTACGTCTTTCGCGACAGTTAACGTTACGAGAATCAAAGTTCGCTTCAGGTCTATGTATAATCGCTCAACGTGAAAAGTGTCCGAAGAAGTTGCGAAACGATGCACGCCGCAATATACGGTTTCGCCCGCGTAAAAACCTCCGTTATTGAAAAACCTCGAAATTTTTCCGTTTTCACAATTACATTATCCCGCCCGACGAAGACGATCGGAGAGGAACCTCTCTCCTTCCATATTCTATCCTTTCCTACTTCCACCTTCATATTTCTCTGTGCGTGTAGGTATTCGTTTTCGTTTTTCTCTTCCTGTTCCTCGTGTATATTCGAAAACATTTACCGCCGACGGCGAAACGATCCCGCGAGCATCGTTCGTTCTCGACGAGAACAACGGATTCCGGTGTCGTCCGTGCAGAACCGTGGATATGATGGTCGCGTCGATCAAAGTTGTCGGAATCGAGCGAAGCAAAAATCGAGTTACGGAAACTGGTGCGCGACAAACGCATTAGTGTATTTTCACTACTACAGTCCTGTCTACAGTCAATTCGTTTTGTATCTACACCTAATCTATGTATCTATTGATATAATTTATGCCGAAATAAATGTTACATTTACGCACAACGGGACAACTGTGGTCTGATTCAATTGTTTCTCGTCCCCCACCATTTTCCATTTCCGTAACGTGTCGCGGCCGTGAGTGTCATCGATGTGTGATTATCGTACACGTGTTGCGTCGATACGAGTTACCGAAGCGAACGTTTAAATCCTTTCCTTTTTTACATCTGCCCGATAACAGACATTCGTATCGACGATGACGCACTCGAGATGTTCGGATACTTCACCCATTTTCGTTCCATTATCGTTCGAAGAAATCCCTCCGCATCAGATCTGATGGATAAAGATCGGCCGTGATTTTTCAACGGTGAAAACGTACACTTATACACTCTCGGTGCAACGATGTTCACCCTTTCGGAACGTCCACGATTTAATTGTCGGGGACGTCGCGTCGTCCAATTATCGGCCGTTTCGAAGCGAGTATCTAATTAACGCCGAAACGCCGCCGATGGCGTTTAAGCGCGTGCTCGCGTTCACGCGCGTTTGCAAGTACATACACCGGCACCGGGCGACGCTTCCGAAATTTCGCCACTTTGTATGCAACGGGCCGACTCGGGCCTCCATTCTGCCTCGAAATAACTTCGTTTCAATAGCGGCTAATTTAATTGTCTCGAGATAATATCGTATAGCCCGC